AATTGTGAGGGGCATTTGTCTATAGGACGTCAAGCAGAGTTGACTGTCCCGGATTTTTTAGGTTGGGTCTTGTGGGGACATTTATTAATTGAAACAGGTTAAATTCATCTGTAAAATTTGTGGCCACGGCCGGCGGGTTTAGCCAATTCCAATTTAGATCACCCACTAAAACTATTTCACCTTTTGGGAGGCCCTCAAAAAGCTCCCTCAGTGCAGATGCAGCTTCAACATCGTTCCCACTAGGCGGGCTATAGCAGCACACTACCAATATCTGTTGATTATTTGGGAGAGTTATTCTGAGAGCTAAACCTTCAAAGCAACATTTTTTAATCAAGGAGTGAGCTGGTGAACATGCAATAGTATTACGAACATAGATGGCAATTCTGCCTCCTTTAGATCCTCGGTCAAGCCGTAAAAGGTTGTAGTTGTCAATCGTAATCTGCAAGTCATTGACGGCAGGAGTGAGAAATGTTTCTGTTAGGCAAAAAATGTCCTGGTCAAGATTTGCCACTTCTTGTTTTAGTTGACTTAATTTAGTCACAAGCCCTCTGATGTTGACATGTAGAAAACCAACACCTTTTCTGCCAGAAAAATCTGCAGAATTATACGAGTTCTTTACATTTGGGCCAGGATGAAGCTCAATACCACCTAGAAATAAGAAAAGTAGAATTAATAGTTTGCACAAGTATTTTCTGTGAAAGGATGAAGAGCGGCGATCCTTGGACGAATAGCAGCAGCTCGCAGATGGTGTTATTTTTAAGAGCAGAATGAAGTTTGGAAGGAGTGCTGGTGAAGTAATGGGACAAAGATAGGGTTTAAAAGGATACAAAGATAGAGTGTAGAAGTGTCTATGAGCTGTTTCATTTGCAGGTGTAGTGGCAAATCTAGCAACAAGTATGGACGCAAAGTAATGAGGGTAGCTGTTTGTAGAGTTGAGTGTGGCACTAGATATGGCTGGGAGGGACAGCAGTAGAATACACAGCAAGAGAATTGCCATCTCTAAAATATCCAGGGTAAACACAGATTAACACACAAGCGGTAAAGAAAATATATATACTTGTAGCTGCTGCTGTAGAAGTTGAAGGGAGTCTCTGTGAATTCATTGGGGATAATCCCCAAATCAGTTGTGAATTAATGGAGGCGGGGGTCTATGGGTTCGCCTCATGCATATTCAGAACCCTGCCCTCTCATTGGACGAACGAGCGTCTATGCCACCTTTCCACGTGTTCACACCTACAGCAAGCTTGAGCATATGGGATGGGTGACCAACAGGGATTGCCAGTCGTTGTAGGCCAGGGGTGGGCAAATTTTTTGACTCGCGGGCCACAATGGGTTCTAAAATTTGACAGAGGGGCCGGGCCAGGAACAGATGGATGGAGTGTTTGTGTGAACTAATATAAATGACGTGTTAAAAATCATTACATGAAAGGATTTGGCCTTTAACAGGTAGCAAAGCATTTATTTGCAAGGCAATTTAACAAATCGCACGAACATGAACAATACAAAAAACATGTCGTAACGTGACTGATCAAACATAATGAAAACATCCGAGCCCTATACACCACACTCCCGGTCAAAGTGCGCCATCTAATGGGGAAATGGGGGCATTACAGGAGAAAGGTAAAATTTAATTTAATAATAATATTTGGACAAGTTCGGCGGGCCGGATTTAAAAGCCCAACGGGCCGTATACGGCCCGGGGGCCGTACTTTGCCCATGTCTGTTGTAGGCTGTGGGGCTGCGATGTAGTCAGATGAATCCAGCGCTGAGTGTCATTCCCTCTGATGCATGGCTGGAGGTTTCTCCGGGGTTTGCTATTTACTCCCTCACGCGAGGCCAAACTCTCACTGATGAATTTGGCCAAATACTGCAATTCAGAACCCGAGATTAAAAAAAACCCTGGATGGGCCTTTTCTTGAGTGAAGAATTAGCATAATCCTTGCACAGTCTTATAGCACTTAGTGTCTCTGCGTTGTTATTGCCTGTTTCTGAACGCTTTTTATAATACTATATTTTTTATTGACGCAATATGCGGGCCAGATATATCACGTTGTGACGCACGCACGCACACACACGCACGCACACACCGTTAACCATAAGCCGAAGCGGTTATGAAAAGCAGGGGATATAAAGATGGGGGAACGGGCTCGTGTTTCTGAACTTTTTAAGCGGAGACGGCGCACGTTGGCAGCAGCAGTTTGACTCTCATCAGCTCCGAGCGTTCCGAGTCCGCGGTGACTCAATGTTCTCCCCTCAATCCTTGCGCAGTTCTCATCAGTCGAGTGAAGCCGCTGAACACCGAGTCATCAAGTTCACGCTTACCTGAGCTCCCGTGTCATCTGCAGCCCTGACGCACCCACACACACACACACTCCACTGCCCCTCACATGTCAACGAAGACAGATGTCCCCCATGTAGCCGACACACATGCCGTTGACGCAAGTGCTGTTAGCGGGCACCTACGAAGGCTCGCACGGCATACGAGGGGCGGTGGGTGGCCAGTATCACGCCCGGCCGACTTTGTCTTCCCGATGCTGATGTTTACACATTGCATTAGGTACTCATTTCAGGCTGAGTCGACCTAGGTGAGGTCGACGATGGGTTCAGATATTCGTCACCGATGTTTGCCGTGAGCGGGAATCGAACTTGGGTCGCAGGGTTCGTAGCGCAGTGTGCTAACCACTGCACTACCACTCCCCACTATGCATTCTCATCGTCTCACACGCACTCACAGTTTGACATTTTGCTAAGCTGTGCGCGTGTGTGTCTGGACAGGGTGCACTGTGCTTAGAGCGATACAGTCGAAAGGTTTATGAGTTCTAATATCATATCGGGGGATACTCATCATTATCATCAGCATCGCTTCAGGGTCAACACATCGATTATCACTTTGTGAGTCAACAGTGAACGTCATATGGACAGGCTGTCTCCCACCACCGGAATATGGAATTGTGACAGCTGGATCAATGTTTCCCATATTAGTACGTGTGCAATGTGTTCACGTGACTACTGCAAAGCCACTAGAACCTACTGTATCCGCATTCACTGTGACCCTGAATCACAGCCCTCCATTGAATCACGTAGAGATCTGTGAAAGTCACCAATCCCAATGGTCTGGGCAAGGCGGACAGCAAGTGGGTCGGTGAATCGGTCTGTGCAGCAGTTTTGAATGCTATCCCCTACATTCGCGTTTTGGGTTGTTTTCCAGAACTGGCCAAACATCCACATTCAGAGCCCCCCCCCCCACCCCAATCCCCTCTGAAAAATTGCCTTGGGACTCAGCGGAGGTTTCGTAAATCAACATAGGAGTATTGGTTGTCTTTTTTTACTCCGAGAAGACAACATATACGAAAAACCAAATGTTCCATGTTTATTTGTGCAGCCACCGGGCTGAGAACATAAACTCGCTACACTCAAGGTTAACATCCGGATACAAGACAGAATTTAGCATATTGTCATAATCTTCATTTTGATTGGAGGAGGAGGAATCCGATGAGCTCGGACGCTCTTTTGCACAAATGAATCATTTGGCGGGACCCCGGGATCCCGCAAAAATCGGGTCAATAATTATTATTTTTCAGTCCGCCCACTACGTGATCGCGACAGCAACGCGCCGCCCGCCCAGACTCGCGCCAACAAGCGCCAGCAGCAGGCGGCGATCGACACGATGGGCGCCACCCCCACCGGCCAAACGCTGCGGTCGCGCGCGGCGACAACGCCCTCCGGTCAGCCGTCGACCCTCAGCTCCTTTGCCAAGGCGAGCCCGCTCCCCCAGGCAGTGAATTTAACGTGTTTATGTAATTTTTCCAATTTTTACGAAACTTAGTGCCCCGAGTAGCTCTCGACGAGGCAAATCGATTGACCACTAGTTTTGTTGTCGGTAAGGCAGCGAGACTCGTGTCGCTAAGCGGTTTTTCCCACCCCGGGGCAGTGATGGGACCCCGGGGTCCCGCCAATTGCTTCAAATGTCCAGTAGGGGCGGGTCAGCAAGTAACATCATCAAACAATACAAAAAAAAACCATATAAGAAGAGCAAGATAGAGAACAAGTGAGGTCACTGAAAATACATGAATATATATAAAGTCTAGAAGTACAAGTTGCAGAAGCACATACATTCCTGCATGATTTGTCAACACCAAATGCATGCTCGGGGCAAGGCAGCAAAACAACAACAGTCCCAGACCACAGCAAGACAACAACACAGTCTGTCAATTACATTGCACATTAACATTTAACTATCGATACAAGGTGAAGGATCAAAGGTACAAATGACATTGGCAAATGTGCCTTTGTCTGGCACTAGTCGACTGCTTCAGAATATTATTGCAGGAAGATTTATGTTAAGGGAGGCTGCTCCAAAACGTTGGGGCTGCGACATCAAGGACCTGTGCAGTTTGGGCCCAATGATCTTCATGAAGTATCTTGTCGACCCACTGAGTATTAGTTCGTGCATCCAGGTTGATGAGGCTACATACTCCAACCCTGGGGTTTCCAGTCTTCGGTGATAACGCGTGCAGGTGTACTGATTAATTGTTGGAACACAAAGGCGAGGAGGAGTGGTGATGGTGTGCCAGTGCTGGGCTCGCACCAGACCAGTTTTCCAACAATTAAAGTTGGGGTTTCCGCAAACTTAACGATTAGTTGAAAGCACCATTCGCGCGGTTGTGGAGTATATAAGTAACAAATATATACGCATACAATGCGTCTCCATCACATATCTGTTTCTCCACGTAACAAATAGGAATATTTCGTACACAACCATTATTGGTTGAGTGCAAATGAATCACAACCAGTTGATTGCAGTCCAGACAGAATTGACTACTCAAGTGATCGATCAGCTCGGTGATTTTCAGGGACGTATTTCATCCGCGTGCGACATTTTTGAACGATGACAGCTCGTCGCAATCCTGAGTGCGCGGTTTCAATCACCTTGCCACGCAATCGATCATCGCCGCTTCAAATGTCCACCTTCCTACCTTCCCCTGCCGGCTGCCACTCAGGACCAAGTGGAAACGTCAGACGGCCGTGGGCTTGGAGTTCCTGGCAGAGGCCGGGACGTACGGCGCCCTACAGCGCCTCTTCCCCAACAACCCCGGCGCCGCCACGAACCTCTCGGCGGCCGCGGCCGCGGCGGCCGCCATCGCGGGCGGCCACGCCTTCCAGCTCTACCCACCGCACCTCTCCGCCATGGACCCAGCTGCGGCCGCCGCGGCCATGTACCTATACCGGGCTGGGCCATCGCACGCGCAGCAGCAGCACGTGTCGCACGCGCACGCCCAGGCGCAGCACTCGGCGCACGTGCACCTGGGACACCGGCCCATGTTCGGCTCGCCCCGTGTCCTCATCCATGGCGCGGGCCTGGGCCACCTGCCCGGGCACCCTCACTAGCGATGGCTATTTCAAACACAGAACACGGTAGCACTGCGACGCAGTGCGGTCGACAGCGCACTGTGTGGATTCGCGTGGAGCGCCGTGCGTTACTGCGGAGGAGTCGGTGAATGGGAGGACTGGGAGGAGGGCGATGGGGTGCGGAGGCAGACATGAGAAGGGTATGGCGACAGTGCAATGAGAATAGCACGGAAGACATTGGATGGGGAGGCAGTAAAATCGTAGGTGCAGAAGAGGAAGTTCTCGAGCCAGGACTTGAATCGTGGAGGGTGTAGTCAGAATTACGATCAAAAGGGGACTTCCAGAGAACGGGGGCAGCAGAAGCGAAGGAGCAACCATCCACTGAGCAGATGTTGACTGGTAGGGTCGACAGACGAGGCCTTAATTGCTGGACTTACAGTGGCACTGGGAGGACAGAACGAAATGAGATACGGGAAGAGAGGAAGACAGGGAGCAAACCCATGCATGAAAAGGCGACTAATTCTCATTGTCGAGTGCCAACACCCAGGAGATTAAGGTGTGTTCGGTGGCAACGCGGAACTTCGTCACTGGGACACGTCACCTGTGAATGTCATGGAGAGGGAATGGGCTTGGTATTTATGGTTATAAGGTGCAAGGAGTGTGATAATTCAAGGTTGCAAGGAGGAGGACAGATCGGTGAGGCAGAGCTGGGTCGACCGTAGTAGCTGGTACATTGGCCCGAAAAGTTACAACGCGGCTGGGTGACACTGCGGTGAGAGCACTCGGCTTTACAACCTGAAGAGCACGAGTGTAAATATCAGCTGAGTGTCGACTCAACCCGTCATCCCTCTGTGGTCGATACAAAACGTACTATGCTGCAGGAAGTCTACAGTGATCGTCCTATGGAGAGAAATCAGAATTTTCTGGAGGAGCAGTGGTGGGAATATACGTGACCGTTACTGATGGTGTGTGTATACTGGCCTAAGGGGCTATTGTTAACTTGTCAGCTTAGTCGCGCTCCACCGGCGTGGTGTAAACGAGGTCTCATTTCGCTCAAAGAAGGCTTGGCCCGTCTGAAAAATGAACTATAGCGCCAGCTCTACTCTATATTCATACACATAAGCATGGCACTGCGTTCTGCGAGACTAAAATTGGAATTGGCCAAGCATCTGAATGCAAGCTCTTCCTGAAAAAAAGTTTTGAGAATTGGGGAGACTTTCCTGGATATTTGGCGACATAAATTTCTCAAGTGTATTGAAGCTGTAAATTGGATGTGTAACCCTTGAAAAAATATATATGTTTAAAAGATTTATAGTGTAACCTAGTTGGTCTAGAAAAATATAGAGTTTGGTGTGTATGTGTGTGGTCCTGTGTGTGATGGTAATGATGTAGCCTCTAGCATAGCCAACCCTACGTTGTCTGTTTGGGCTCTGTGTAGATGTGTAGCCCAATTGTGTGACTCACACGTTTCAAATCTAGCTAGCGAGTCTTGCCTAGTCCAGGCTATTACCCCCACAGCTCATGAGCCCAAATGTAATGTAGCTGAATATATCATAGCTGATTTAAAGGAAGACCCAACCCAAATGGCTATTGTATTATTCTACATTAACCATGTCTACTCATGGTAATAAGGTGGTTGAAATCTTCTTTGTAAATAACCCCCCCCCCCAAAAAAATCATCAAATCCGGACACAGGTCCGTGTGCCATGAGTATGGGTTTCAAATTCCCCTCCTTGAGCTGGGCTCAGCAGACGAACGTGGAGCATGCGGCGAGCATCCTGACGGTAAGAGACGAGGGGCTCGATTGCGGCTGTGACGTCACTAGAGGGCGTTAGACACGTGAAAGGCACGTGGCTGTGAATGCCTTTGTTTTGTATTTGCATTAAGAACGTTAAACTGCGAGGAAGCCAAGGCTGCAAAGCCTAGATGTGCAGGCCTGTCTGTAAAGCAACATCTGGCAGTTTACTGGGTCGCGTCTTCCTTTAAGTTGGCAATTATATTGCAAAGGGAATGTACAGCATTGCCGAAGGACACGCAATTATGTACATAGATTCACAATGGTAACCAAGATACTTTCATCAAAGATGGCGCGGTAACATGGTGCCGATCAGTACGGGTACGTATGTATGTATGTATGTTGAACTTCTTTCGCGCCGTACGTAGCCAACAGTGCTACATATATGCTTGGGTACATATACGCTTAGGGTCTACACACCAAACCGTCAACTTATTTTGAACAGTTTAATTTAAAATGAGTGTATTTCGTAAGCAGGGGGTAGTGTTTGTAGATTGTTTCACATTATGCGGGACTCGAGATGTAATGGTCGTTATTAAATGTCTTAAGTTATTTGGGATTTGCTGTAGATTTCGATTTGAATTCGCATAAAGCAACGGGCAGGCTTAGACAAGCCGCAACTTCGGTAACTCTTTGGTGCAGGTCACGATGGTGTTTCTTCGGTCAACAAGTTCACATCAGGACACAGGCTTACAAGAGGTTGTGCTCCACCCGCTCCAACAGAAACAACGTACGGACTCCCGTGGACTTCTTAGACACTCTTGGCCTCTGCAGCACGCGCTGCCCTGTAACTGAAGGCACCGCTCTGTATCGGTGCGGGGCCATCGCCTTGGAACTTTACTGGATGGTGACTGATGCGGGACGTTTGTGACCTCAACTGCAGCACCAATACAAGCACAGAAACCCCACTCTATGTCAGTCAGAGATAACCACACACGCACACAAAATGCTGCGTAAAGCCCTGGTGATCACTCCGAACAGTGACAGCAGCAGTGACTGAGCGGATTAGCACCGCCACTCTAGCCTGGTGCAACTCGAACTGTGAATTCCCGACGTGATCTAACTACGAACCATGAACCACTGGGTCTTTTGTAAGCTTGGCACTTGGGTTAAAGCCCCTTCCCTCCACCCCCACAGAACCTTTTGATTTGACTCAGAAATGAGCAGGTGCGTGATTCGACTCGGGACGGGACTTACGTGTGGTGCATAGACTCTTCACAATCAATTCACTCCTGTCCATACCACAGGTCAATGCGTAGACTCCACACGCATTGAGAACAGAGTTGGCAGAGAAGCCATAACATTGATGGCGGTGGTGTGCGGGAGCTCCAGGATGGTGCAACACGGTGCTCGGGTCACTGAGAGACCACGAAGACACTGAATATCAACTCGTCGGTATTAATGAATCATTGATGCATCCAATACAGTCGGTTATTATACTCACGATACGCACACCAGATCGTGGGTGTAAAAATGGACTATTTTAGATTCGGTGAAAACTATATGGGGAAAAGAATTCTTCAGGCTAACGGTTGTAAGGAAGGAGTCGGCAAACGAGCGGGAGTAGAGGCGGTACAGACAAGACAGTACAAACGATGAAACAAGACTACACAAACGCGACAGTACATACGAGACAGTCTTAAACGAGATGGGCAACGCATTTGAAATTGAGTCCACACGAGTAGCCCTGGTAAGGCAGCTGGATTGTTTCCGTTCAACACCAACAACGTGAACACTCGTAGGGAAGGGCAGGCATAGCGAGGATTCGTGCAGGGCACGGACACTGTCGGTGACTTTCGCCTTTTCTTCCCATAGCCCCGAGTCCTTGTCCCCCACCTATAAATCCTTTTTTATTTTACCAGGTAAGGCCCACTGAGCTATTTTGCAATTTTTTTTAGAAGCGACTTGGCCGCTAATGATAGTTCAATTAAGTGGCCTATCACGTGTAAATGTATAGCCGCCAAAACACTCTAAACGCGTGATGTTGATTCAAAATTTGGAGGTAAAAACCGGAGGACCCGCAGAAAAATCCACGGAACCACGGGGATAACACGCAAGCTCCAAATATACAGCAGGCATCAGGGTAGGGTTCAAATCCACGACCTGCTGCATACTGTACGAGGTAGTTGACATCTCGCCACCAGTTCACTTCTCTTTCCCGCCAATCTGTATCTTTTGGGGGTTTCCCCCAATCTCCTTGTGTGCACCTTTTTTCCCAAGCGCCTTCATTTAATTATTTCTCTTGGCGTGGTCCTTTGCATGACCCCTACATTCAACCCTGGCCGTGTCCCCCCCCCCCCGCCACGACATCCAAACACATAACGAGAACATAATTTAATAATAGGGGTTTTTCCCATTTTTTCTGGCAACTAAACTGAAACCTTTTTCCAAGGATTCATGTCTGCATTAACCACAATACCTGCAATCAAAATGCAAACAAAAAACACACTCTGATAATATATGCATTCTCCTTGAAACTGATTGGTCCACACCAAGGGACGGCTTTCTTTTGAGCCTCGACCCAATTGGTGCTCGACCAGATGACGCCAAAAGGCGTCACACAGCTCAAAGACAATGCCACTATCAAAGTAATGAGGGCTCGGGGTGAGCCAGTACTGGCAAAAAAATGATGGAGAACATAATTATCGATTCGATCATTGAAACGTGGCATCGAATCGCAAGAGGGTGGATTGGAGAGGGGGGGGGGTGTTGGGGTGGATGTGCATCGATTCTCGCTTAAGTCATATTCGCATTTCAGTCGCCATGAACACCAAACCGTGAAGAGACAACTCCAGCTGAAAGATGGGCAGTGCGTGAGATTTGACTCGTGGTTGTGTGAGCCCCGGTACACCAGGTATCTCGATGTTAAAACCTCCCGATTCTCATGCCCGTGAAATGCGTGAGAATTGTTTACTGCCGCCGCGTCTGAATGTGTCAAACTAACGACCGGTGTTTATCAGTTTTCTATGTTGGGGCTGTGGTCATGTTCAAATATGTACTCGGCCCATAAGTCCGTTAATGCCATTAAAACGAGTAGCATTTTGCGAAAAGCCTAACCTTTGATTGTCCTCTGAATGCAACAGCCCCCGCCACGAGAATGTGAAGTTTGGACCTCTTACCTTCCTTCTCCAATGGTCGTATGGTGGCACTCCATCCCCTTTTGCGCCTCAAAGCAGCGGTGGAAATTCTACATTCCTATGGCAAGAGCCAGAATGTCCTCAGAATTTCCACAAAGCGATACACATGCTGAATACTGACCACCGCCTCTCTTTTGAATCCTGGATGAATTTATGAGTGGCATATGCGTGGTCCCCTGGGTTTTGTTAGAGAGCTCGTGATTTTAGTTCCCGCTCTCTCTCTCTGCATTGCTAACGACGTGGCTCTGTATTGCTGATGAGGAGTCTCTGCATCACGAACTCTTCATCGCAGCCGCACGTGGGGGCCCATGAGTGAGACACAAGTGGAGCTCACGCACTCGCCCAATAAACTGCAGCGTGTACAACTCATCCTTTGTGGTCGCTTCTCTTTCTTAATCTGTCCACGTGTAAATCCACGACGGTGCGGGATCTCAACGATTCTCAAGGGAAGGAACACGGTAGCGGCTTACTGCTACTGCTGTTGATGCTGCTGCTATGTCAACGCTGCTGCATTTGTTGTTCGTGAATTTTACACAGTAAAGTCCTCGTTTAATGCGGTACATGCGTTTCCGAAAAGTGCCGCGTTAAGCGAAACACGCGTTAGGCGAACACTATTTCCCCATAAATAATGTGTAAAATATACGTTATAATTATTAAGTTTGTGCGAGATACAATGTACGCACACACACACACAGATGGAGGAACAAATGAGAGAGGGATATCATTCCGCGTCCTGTATGATACCACTCAGCCGCGTGGCTCAAGAATCTTGTTCGTCGAAGACTATTCCGAAACCACGTTATAACGGGCACCGTCCACGTTATAACGGGCACCGTCCACGTTATAACGGGCACCGTCCACGTTATAACGGGCACCGTCCACGTTATAACGGGCACCGTCCACGTTATAACGGGCACATGCCGCGACTTACCGTACTGAAAAAAAAACTGCGTAAAATGATGTTTGCTAATGCCGCTGCTGAGGTTACTGCTGCTGATTCCGCTAATGCTGCAAATGCTGCCGCTTCATATGCCATTTCTGCTGCCCGTAATTACCTTGCAGATAATGCAGAAGCCGACGTTGTTGACAATGTAGGAGTAGATGTTTCTGCAGTCACTATTACCGCAGTTGTTGACGCAATTATTGCTACTGCTGCACAGCCCCAGGCAACCCGAACTCGTACTGATCCTTAGGGACCTAATGCGCGTGTAAAGTGCATGTGTAGTTGGTTCGAATTAGGTGCACGCACACACAGCTTGGAGGCAACACTATTTATTAGAACGGTAAGTAATATAACACTGTACACAAGGTGGTGACCACCTTCCTCAACTCACTAACACTCTGGAACACTATGCAGCGTGACCCAGGCAGGCAACGGGCTGCCTGGTCCCAGACGATGACCCGGGGACTTGAGGATCGATGACGTCGTCTTCACTTGGGGGTTCAACAGCCCCGCTCTGCCTTCACACCCCGCTTATCTCCGCTCTGGCGTGGCCGGCTCTGCCCAGGCCACGCCTCCCTTCCCCCACCTCTGGGAAGGTCCGGGTCCTCCACCACGTGACCTCCCAGGCACCCCCTTGGGGCCCCCAGTCCTCGTACGGGCCTACACAGTAGTGACGTCCTATGCCACTACACATGTATAAAGTGAACAGTAGGGAATGCATTCACGGGAAGTATTTTTGGCACGCCACATCCATCTCGCCTTGTATTGTCCTCATGAAACTGCATATATATGTGTATATATTCTTTTACGAACGTGTTCGTGGGATTGTAGAAATAGAGGGTACAATAATTTAGTATTACTATAGATAAGCACACTTTCCACTGATTATTCCTATTCCAAACCAGCCTAGCAGCATTCCGGAAAATATCTAGTGAGATGTTCACCCATGGGCGTGTGAGATTTCAAACTAAAACTCTTTTTTTAAAACGAAAACTATTTTGTATTAACTAAACTTTTTATTTTCCCAGGTAATGCCCACTGACCTATATAGCTCTTTTTCAGAAGATACTTGGCCACAAATAATGTCTCAACGAAGTAGCCCTTCATGTGAACATTTATAGCAGCCAAACACTCTAAACACATGTTGATTTTAAATGTCGATGGAAAAACAAGAGGACAGGGAGAAAAATCCACGCGACCATGGGGAGAACATGCAAACTCCGAATATACAGGCATCATGGTAGGGATCGAATCTACGACCTCCTGTATACCAGGTGAGGTAGTTAACATCTTGCCACCGTGGCGCCGAAATATGCTTGTCCTCCACGTGCCTTTGCATGAACTTGCAAGCCCTTCGCTGGCACGACGTCACAAGGCACGACGTCACAAGAGACGATGACGCCTGCTGCAGATAGCCCACTCCACGCCCCGAACCTCACCAGTCACGGCCACACCCCCTAAATCGGTTATCCCCTTATATCCCCAAATTCCTAACACCCGTCCCCGCCATCGGCCACCCTCTATACGCCACCCATCTTTACGAAACGTGACTCCAACCTCATCGCCATCCCACAAACTAAAAATATCCCTACTCCCCCCCCACTCCCCTTCCCTGCTCACTCCACCCATCAGCTCCTTTCACCTACAGTAAGCCTCTGGAATTCCCGCTCAGCCTGTAACAAGCCCGCATCCACCCTAGACGCCTTTTTCTAAAAGAAACCCTTCAAGCCCTAGCAATTACAGAAGCCTGCATATCCACATTGAACACTGCCACTCCAGCTGCGCTTTCTACATCCTGCACCAACTTCATCCATTCACCATGACCCTCTGGTAAGCTCGGTGGTGGCCTTGGGTTCCTCTTCTCCTCCACCTGTATCCCCTCGCCTCAATCTGCTGCCTTTCCATCCTTTCCCTCTTTAGAAGGTCAACTTTCTTTCTCCTTCTCCTTTACACTTTTCTTTACAATCATTTACCGACCCCCCCCCCCTCCCTTCCCTCCCCTGGTCAGCCCTCCTCGTTCGTCGATGACTTGGATTGCCTTCTTACCACAATTCTTCCTATCTCATCTCCGCTGATTCTTCTGGGAAACTTGAACCTCAACCTTACTTCCCCATCTACGCCCTCGACTTTTAATGCGTCTCACTAGCTCCTTCAACCTACACCTTGTCTCCTCTCCTCCGACTCGCTGCTCTGATAGCACGCTTGACCTTACCTTCACTTCTGCGTGCTCAGCTTCCCATGCCCTACTATGTCTCGTCCTCCATCCGATCACCAATTACTAACCATGACACTCTCAATGCCATCCCCCTCACTCTCGAGCCCTTCCTCTACCTCCACTCGCCTCCGCCGAAATCTACGCTCCCTTGATGACTCTGCACTTCTTTCTCCGGTATCCGCTTACCTTCCACCCCTAACTGATTTCGTTGATCTCCACCCAGAAAAAGCATCATACATCCTATATTCTGCACTGTTCTCTTCACTCGACGCTCTTGCCCCTCTGCTGCCCTTCACCCCTCCTAATCATCCTCGTAGGCCTTGGCTGACACCTGGGCTAAAGATTCAGCGTTGCCTTGTACGCAAAGCCGAGTGAACCTGGAAGACCCTACCCACGCCTCATTCCCACTCCACTTACGTTTCTATACTTTCTGATTTTACTTCTACATTGAAGGCAACTTGCCAATCCTGTTTTCTATCCCTCATTTCTTCATTTTCCGTGCACCTTGCTCTGCCTTTTTCTACCTTAAACACTCTGCTACATCTTTCTCCACTCTTACCTGCCATTTCTTCTTCTGCCCCCTCCCCTGTAGTCCTCTCCAACTATTTATTGGAGATTACTCAAATTAGTTATATCCTCCTCATTACCTCCCTTCCTTCCT